CCTCTCAAGCCTCCTTCGAAAAGAAAAAGTTTGGCCCCTTTTTTTTAAATGAAATGGTGGCCAGGAATTCTACTGACAAAATCTTGATGCTGCGAACTCATTTATTTTTAGTAGTTTTGTGATTGATGGGGTTTCTTATCGCAATCGTCGTTTGCTTACCTATTCCAATTTGCTCGAATATTCTCCAACCCTACGTCTATGAAGTTCTGGTTCCTTTATTTCAAAGCTAGAAGCCACCTACTCATGGGCTACAAGCTATTTGAAAAATGAAAAAAGCATCCTTATTCATCCTTTTCATCTTTTTTTGTTCCAATTAGCATCCGTCAGAAGGTAGCCACAAAACAGATAACCACTTTAATTTCATTTTTCGTTTCACTAATTTTTTATTCTACTAAAATTGTCATCCTTGTCCTTTTGCTATATTTTCGTAATTAATAAAAGGGACAACTCTGAACTAATGAAGTCTACATACTGTGTACAATTATTGCAGCATTTTTGAAACCTTCACCAGGTAATAAGCTCAAGTTTTTTCGCAGAGGCTAAGCTACTTGTCGATGAAGCCCATAAGTGGATAATGTTGTGCAGAGTTTCTAGCACTTAGCGTCAAGATTTATAACTACCGGTTTCTGAAGTTACGTCGTCGTTTACACCACGGAAGTGGTGCGCATTTGACGAAGCTGAGGAAGAGTAATACACTCGGACAGACATCTTTAGGGCAACTGACTTGGCGAGAACTTGTTCGGAACCAGCAAAAAATGCAAAGTTACATTAGCGTTCCAGAAAGAAACTGCTGTAGATGTGTCTCGATGAGGTGATTTTAAATTTGCCATCCATGTCCTCTAAATCACTTTAACGAGAAATTATGAGCGTGCAAAAGTCTAAACCTGGCAAGCATTCAGTGACATTTGATGAATAGCATTGTGAGTTGGAACACAAGCCCTGCACCGAAAACATCTAAAAAAATCATTGGAATTGCTTACGTAACCGCCTCGATCTGCATACCATTCTTTTCATTGTGACTATGTGCACTATTTTGTTATACATATCAGAAATTCCATTTTGAACCAAATTATATTCCGGGCTCGGCACAGATGGCTTATATGCAAGCGGGTTTCTTTTTGCAACAAAAAGCAAAGGGGATATTGTTTTTTGTGGCTGAAAAAACACAACTTCGGTTAGTTTTGTTAGAACGTTTCGTTTTTTGAGGATTTTTTACGTTAAGGTTCGAAGTCAGAGGGTTTAAAAATTTACGAAAGTCAAGAGGAACTTACACAATATTCATTTTGTGGGTTATGAAAACTAAACACTAAAAAGCATATTAGAAGTTGTTGTGGCATTTGGCATATTCTGCTACTCAAAATCAAAGAATACAAACTAATAATTTCTGTCTTTATAGCTGTTATTGCAGCCATGTAACAACGATAAATTTTTGCTTCGACACTAAGACAAAGCGCATCATTTCCTCCCTTCGACCTACACCTACCTACATATGTATTCTACAGGGTGTTTGAAAAGTTCGTGGCCAAAGTACTTCCAATTCAAATTATGACGCGCTTTTTGCTTTATTGTGCTTATCAGACCTAAATACCATTATTTCAGTGAAATCAAGTTTCTTCGCGGTCTCTCTGATTTTTTATTAGATTGAAACATATTAATACAGCTCCTCAAAACTTTCCTTGAAACGCTAGTTACAAAGAAAGAAACATAATTCACAAAAAACCTGGTACACCTTCTAAAAGCCCTTTCTTTAAGGTTTCTTAAATGTGCTTTTACTTTCGTAGAAGTAAGTTCGTTTTGGAATATTGTGCCTTGAAAGATAAGAGATCCACTTTTAGGATTTTTTCGTCAAAAAGCCCATCACCGAAATTTTTATATTTTATCTTCAAAACCTTTGCAAGCGCGCAAAATATTTGAAGACAAATACAACGAAGGTCAGAGAGTTGTGCTACAAATACATGTTGAAATAAGACTTCCAAAATTTCTTAAACTGAAAAAATTTCAACGCAAAGTGGGTGCCGCACTGTCTGATTCAGCACAAAAAAATCTTCATTAGCAAGCTACTGAAGAACATTTATTACTTGAAGAAAGTGTAAATCTAGGACTATTTGTAGTAAAAAAACCAAAAGCTGTTTCCCTTTTCCGGCATTGAAAAAAAAGAACAAATCAGATAACGCCTTCCTCCAAGAAAGCTGAAAAAATTTTTTACTTCCGAATTTTTTTTGGGGGGGGGGGGTACCTTGAGGCAAAGATATTTTTCTTTGTTAATTCAGTGGTTTCTAGATTTGGGGAACACACATAGCAAAAATCGAGTTAGCGTTCGCAGTGGAAGTGCTTAAGGACACGAACTTTTCAGACACCCTGTATATCAAACGGATTCATTGAATGAATTGCGTTTACGCAGCGTTAATTTTTTACTTTTTTTTCAAATAATATATTTTAGTGCAGGGCTAATATTTCAACCTGATATCTTACTTAATCTCTAGTAATGCTTTTTCTTGTAAAGAGCAAATTTACCAGGCTGCGCTTTGAGGTGCATTAATACGAATCCCCAATGAGTTAATGCACTCTTAAATTCTTTTGGAAACTCGTTCTATAAGAAATGTAGGTTTTGGTGCTATATCATTGATGCGACTCGTCATCCTTTGCTTGTAAGCGGGAAAAAATAAAATCAAAAAACTGAGTAACGTCTTCGTCTACTTGAGAATAAATAGTTTTTTTTTGAGAAAATGCCTGGCTCATGTTTGCGGAAATTTGGTTTTGGTAGGATCTGCAGATTTTTCTCAGAATCGACGTAGCCTATTTTAGTTTCACATCTTTTCATATGTGGCTCTAATGCCCTTAATGGCAGGCATTTCCAAAATTCATAAAATTTCTCAACTTTAATTACTTGACATCCTTTCAATTAACGCTCAGCGACTGTCTCAAAACATTGCGATCATTTTTGAATTTAACTAGTATCTATGAAAACAAGGTCTAGTTCACGCTACGTTTGTTTTGTCGCTATAACTTACTTTGCTCAACCGTATTTGCCAGAATTGGAAGTTGATGCTTTTCTTTGGGGAAGGTAGCTACAGAAACTGAGGGAAACTGACAGCTTGCGTAACACACATCATCTGTTCGGAAAAATCGCGTCATGGGAATCTCAGTTCTTGTCTCGCTTTCTATGGAATCTCCTTCGCTAGAAAGCTTTCTCAACCCTTACCACCGCTCTTTGGATGGCAGAAGGTAAGCAGAAAAAGTGGGGGAGCGAGCAGATTTGGGTTGGAACTGCGTAACTCAAAAAGAATTAGGATGTCTGCAAAGCCGATTACTGTGACCTCAATGTTTGCTGAAGTTCAAGGCTGCGAGCTTTTGAGCTTTATTTTGCTCCTTTATTTCCACCAAACATATGATTAGAGAGGATATGATTAGAGAGGCTTATACCATATTGCAATAATATTCTAAGATGAACTTTCTATTCTACGGAATAATGACGTTCTCTCATCATTCTGCCAGATAATGTCGAATACTTTTGTTTTCCAATCTTCCGCTAATCTCCTCCCATCTGTGGAGAAGACTGAAAATGAGTCAAGTTTGATTTTTGCGCGTAATAGGTGTTCGAGTGGTGCAGTTTTTCCAGTCTTTCCAGCTGGACTTATGGGGAGAAACTTCCAAAAGAAGATTTTCGCAGCTTTTCCTATTCACATTCGATGCATGCCTATAAGGAAGGATTCTATGATCTGCGATCTGAAAATCAATATCATTACAGATCCGGAAACATAGACTTTGGAAAGATCCTTTTTTATGCTAGACATTTTATGTCGAAAACTGTGTCAGTATGTATCAGGACCTTTTCCATGAACGTTTATGTTCTTCCTCTGGTGGAGACCTGAAATTTTAATGACCTATTCGCTCACTCTTTCTTAGAGTTTTATGATCGTTTGTCCGTGGCCGTATGCCTGACGTTCACTTCTTCGCATTCATCTATAAAAGTGTTGCTCGTTCATCCCCAACTTCTCTGCTCGTTCTCTTTCTTTGGTTTGTCTTGAATTTTCCCATGTCTATGCTGGCCCATAGATTTGAATTTGAGAGTTATCGCACACTCATAGAGCTAGATACCCTTACTTTTTATTTGCTTAGGTGGTCTGAAAGTTAAAGGCTTGCTTCCACTGATAACCCTATCTAGAAGCTAGAACTACAGGATCTATTATATTGAACCAAAGTTTGTTCAGTTTCAGATTTGAAATCTTCATCTCATGATCTTGTTTGGAATTAATTTCTGTGAAGTAAAGATGTATACTTTTTGGAACTTGGATGCTTTCTATTTCGCAAACAGGATGTTCAAAGTCAAGGAAAATATTTGTGCCCAGCAGTTTGTGCAAGCTTGAAAGAATTCCGATAGAATTCGACTAGTCACTCGCACAGGTTTTATGATCTCCTTTTTTAGCTGAGTTCAACTCATGTTGATTGAGCGTTGTGAAAGTTAGGATTCTAAAGAAAACGTAAGAAACGAAATCTACCGTTTCATGTTTTTTCACGAAAGTTTTATCTTCTATAGAGGCATTGATTGGTGCTAACTTTGCATCCATAAAAAGAGAAAATTATAAAACTTGGGTCAGTGTTTTTCGGATTTTATTGCGATATCTTGAAAGAAACTCGACAGTTTTAATCTTCGTTTTTTTATCCCCAATCTGCTCACAGCAGGAGCTGCCGAAATTACCTCAAAATTTACATGATTCCTTCTTTCTAATATCAAAGAAAAAAGCCATGCAACTGAAACGAAGTTATCATTTATCGAAAATGGCGTTTTAGCTCAAGCTAATATATGATTTTGATTAAACTCACGTAGTAAGCACGACTATGCTCTAATCGGCGTTTCTCTTCGCACCAAATAAGCTAGAAACTCTCAACTCAAAAGTAGCTAAACCATTCTCATGTCAAACTCTCATTCCCTATGTCCGTCCGTTCGTTGCCCTAAATTCGCCAATTTTTTGTGCCTCATTGCGTAATTCGCCGTGGTGCGTTAAATGTGTTCGCGAGTGCGGATTTCTTACTGTTGACTGTCTGATGAAGCGATAATCTTCACAGGAGCGAGAGAACGTCGCGAGAGAGACCAAATCGTCGTGGGGGGCTATGAAGTCCCCTGTGCGACTGGTCGAGAAGGCCCATTCGCTCTTATTTCGCGTTTCTCGACAGTTACAGGTTCGTGATGTCCTATTTCGCCTTCAGCAGAATGATATGAGACTTCTAAAACCAGAAAATACGGTTTTGTATAACTCTATCAAGTCAACCTCAATATTTTTTGTCAAGAATGAAATGATATAAGTTTCCATCGCCTTAGTACCACTCAAACTGAACTGATGCCGGTTTTACAAGCCTTTGGAGAAAAATTTCACCAAATATTTGGTGAAATAAAATTTCACGAATCTTATCTGTGACCATGAATTTTAGCAATTGTGGATTTCACATGCTAGTCCATTATCATGTTTTGAGGATTCAATAAAAGTTAGGATTTTCCAAATTCTTTCTGATTCTGAGCCTAACTGAATTTCAATTTCTTCTGGGATAACTGTTTGACAAAAAAAGATTATTTATCTGTCACCATGAGTTCGGAATTTGAGGAGTCTCATCAAAAATATATATTAGTGCAAATTCGAAGCTCTATAACAACTCATGTGACAGCTGTTCAGCTAAGATTTCTCAGTGGGAAGATAGCCTTAGGCCTCTAGTTTCACATTTAGAATGGTTAGAACATTCTGCCACCAAAAAATGAGAGTCATGCCCCTATATGGTCAAAATGTTAAAAAAAAGGTTTTTTCTGAAATTTTCAAGTTTTTTCTCAGCCTGTAGTGAGGCAGAGGCGAGTATATTGGTGCCTCAATACTACAACCTTTGACTAAATGCGAAGCACAGTGGAGATTGTGACCTACTCGTTGTAAATTTCTGCAGCCGAAAACGTGAGAATTTCCAAGCATTTCTGCGTGGAAATCAAATTTTGTTCAATCCAGATCGCTTGAATTCGACCATCAGTGGCCATGCAAATGGTTGGAAATTTGAAAATCTGTTGTGTGGGTACCGAATTTACATCTCACTTAATGATTCGAGAAAAAAGTCTGATCATTCTTCCTTTCTCCACCATTTCCTTATCAGAAGAATGATTTTTGAACGAACCAGTTGACCATCCTATTTTCCTCGATTTGCTTTCTCCAATGGTACCATATACTCCACAAAATTCAATCTGTTACATTTTTACAAGCCGCTAAAAACGATAGAACTTATTTCTTTGCTAACCCAATGGACTGGACGCGATGTCCATCATGTTCAGTCACAGTTTCTCTTTACCAAATCCCTGCACATTTGAAGCTTCTTAGATGCGTAAATCCAACTAACAAAATAGAACCTCATTTGAAGGTACCACTAGTAGATTTCGACTTTATTTAGAGAAGATCTCGAAAATGTTCAACCATTTGTTTGTGTGCTTATATGCTCATCTTCTCAAGTTTATAATATGTAATTCTCGAGTGGAGTGAATATCACTTTTGTCAAAAGTGAAGGATACTTGGTCGAAATGGCGTTTCCATAGAAAATGTGTACTTTCTTATAGAGCGTAGAGCGCTGATTCCGAATCTGCTTTCGGTATCTGCAAAGCACCCACCTTTGGAATGGGAGTTACGAGAGTTTTTTGAGGCAGAAATTCAAGGTCTTGGTCAAGGTGAAAACGAGTGATGAGGTCTTTTCTGCGTTTGAATGGAGTAATGTCCAGATCAAATTTATTGGAATAAGGATATCAACTGCAAGAAGCGCCGTGGCAGTAATCATGATCCCTTGCAAGATTACAGACTACAGTTCTAAAAGATTTTATTGTAACTGCGTCTCGAAATTTTTGGGTCAAAAAACTTTCATAACTCCCCTCCCAGAAGCGCTTTGCAGATATCGAAAGCAGATTCGGAATCAGCTTTTTATGCTCTATAAAGCAGTGTCCATCTCCTAAAATAACGCTTCGACCAAGTATCCTTCCCTAGTTAGAATTTTCAATCAGAAAATAATCAAATTCAAATCAGCAAGAAGTTATATGATGGATAGCACGAAAATTGTCTGACGTTTTCAGATGTGTCAAGTTCTCACATCTCATGACACAGGTCTTTGAACGAGTCGTTCATCTAATGTACTCTAATGTGTCATCTTTGATTGCGGCGCTTGCGATTGGAAATTAAGTGTAACCTCTTGCAGACTTGTCTGGGAAGTAAGTGATCAAGGAAATGCCTATGACGGGCTTGATTTTTACTGTATATGACATTTAATGGTGTGACCAAATTGACTTCGAGTCTCGACGGCTTTTTTTTTTGCAAAGGAGTGGCATTGGCATCACTAAGTACCAAAATTATGCCAGTTAGAAAGTATATTGATCGAAATTACATGAGCAGCAAAAATGAGTTGGACGCAATTGGGAAAAGAAATGATAATTTTTTGTTGACCAAATTTTTTGTCGAGTGATTCAAGTGGACAATTTTCTCGCAAGACGCATATATGAGACAATGAGAACGGAGCGGGACGTTTTGAAAGTCTTTCGCGAATTCTGGAAGCTGAATACTTGCAGAATTCGGTATTTACTAGGCCATTTTATATCTAGTCGCACTCGATGGGAAGCTCTGTCATGTTTTGCGAGCACTAGAATAACTGTATTGATATCTCTTTATTGCAGAATCTTCTATACTTGATCATATCGTTGGGCTTTGAATAGAACTGCACTTTTTTCTCTCAAAGTGGCTTTCAACTCTCAAGTCAAATCCACTTTGCGCAGCTATGCCTGCAAATTCATCCCCATAGGCTGAATCATGAGAAACAATCGTCAAAAAACACTATCAATCGGCTGTAAGCGATAAATGTCGTAGAGAATTCGTTCTAGAGCGACATCAAAAGGAACAGGTTATCTGACGACTCGTTTCCATCAGCCGTTATAATCACGGTATCGTGCGGGAGCGGCTAAATGTGAGATGTTGTTCGCACGTCAGCGTTCAGCATTCCAAAAGAGATACCGCTATAGCAATCTGTAAGAGTACTTTTACTCCCAAAATAGTAAAAATGGGGAATTAGAGACATTAATGCGTCGCATATGTATGACAAAATGAGAGATATCATTTCTCTGTATACATACATATCTTATTGCCAAACTACGCAGCGCTAAAATTCTGGAAGAAAACCTAGAAGTCCACACAAATTTGATGGTGAGTACTTGTATCGTTTATGTACAAATGCTCAAGTTGCAGCTTTAGTCAATTCTGGCACAGTAAGATAACTTTGAACGCGAACCAATCAGCGTGCTTGGATACGGTACTGGAACAAACTCTGTTATAGAACTAAATTTCTCAGCCAAGTACAGAACATGTAAGCTATGGGTCGATCAGCGATTTTAGTACTTGATCAGAGTCGTAAGAATACAATGCCAAGAAGTGCTTAGACACTGCTAGTAAATAGATCATGAACGAAGGAGAAAAATGAGAATAGAACAAAATCATCTTTCTATCTATGGCTTTCAGCACGCAGAATTTTAATTACAAAACAAACATGTGAGTATGAAAAATGAACTGATGGGTGATGTGCATTAGTTCAAAACCACGGTATATAATAAGTGATAGTGTTACAAATTCAGATGACTGAATCTGTGAGCAGAAGGAATAGTTCGCGATGTTGCGGCCTGATCCATGTTCGAACGCTAGCTCTACTGATTGCAGTTTTAGAATCAGCATTCCTCATCTATCAGGTAGTTTCTTGCACTTTATAAAGTTTGATTTTGAGCCTAGAACAAAGATATACCTTTTTGTTTATCTTTTTTCTTATGAACATCTACAGGGTATCGCCGCTGTATCCCACATCGTCTCCACACCATCTTCGCCTCATCACCATCATCTTTTGGCTACCGTCTACGCTTTGGCTGTGCTGATAGCTTGGGTAGCCGTGGGTCTCCTTTTATTGGGTGTCCTCTGTCAAATTCCTGCTCTGCTTGTGCCTCATATGTTGATGCAGGTTAGTGTTAGTTCACGAAGAAATGTTAATGGTTTAATATGCGCTTACACTTTAAGGCATTGCAAGACGTGTCTAAAACGAGTACTTCTAGTGTAATTGATATCAAAGAAACAATTAGCGTATCTTTCATGATAGCCGATAGGAAAACGCTGCAAAAATCCTTGAAAGTTAATTCTTTTTGATCTTACAAGGTAAACATATCTAATCAAAGTGACCTTTTTCGCATGCAATCTATACAGTTTTGGAGAGCATTAAAGGCAGCGTTTAGGCAAGTTTGGACACCTGGATCTCACGTGGATATTAATTTTGGGGCCCTAATTAAGCCGCTGCCCAATCGGCAGCTCAGGTAGTGCTCTAATGGCTAAGATATTCGCCTAAACTGGACCCCGCGATCGCATTTCGCATGGATTCATGGCGCAAAGCGTGGATCGGTGCGAATCTGCCATGAATCCATGCGAATACGATTGCGGTGTCCAGTTTCGAGGAAAATATACCTGCGCTGCCGCTTGGGCAGTGCCTTAGTTAGGGCCGCAAAAGACTTTCCACGTAAAATCCGCATAGGTCCAGATCTGCCTGGACGCTGCCTTTAAAGACTTTCCAAAAATGCCTTCGGTATGTGCTGTGCGCGTTTAGACGCCGAGTTATGAATACTTCCAAAAATTTAAGGCGTGATTGAATCAATATCATTTGATGGGACAATGTTGGGAGTTAGGGCACTTTAAGCAATGAGTACCTTTCAACTAGGTTGACCAAAAAATAAGTTCGGTTGTTTTTCGGTTTGCAGGAAATCTACTTGATTTATGTAAAATTGTGCAAATGTGAAAGCAAATCAAGGAAAATCGGATGATCGCCAATCATCATTTTTGTGAAGAAATCGTGCCGGAGGAGTAGTTAGATTTTTTCATGGATCAGCAAATCACGCTCCGAAAAACGAGCTGAAGTTGCATGTAAAATGCACAGCTAGCATCCACACACAAATTCTGAAATTTCTAACAATTTGCGCGACGTAGATGGTAAAATTTAAGAGAATTTGATTGTCCAAAAACTGACTTCCACGCGGATATACCTGGAAAGTTCCACATTTTTGGCTGCAGAAATTCACATGCAGCAGATAATCTCCACTGTAGTTCGTCATGTAGCCGAAAGTTGTTTTATCTAACCATCGAGCCACCAGATGAGTAGTCTGTGCATACTATAGGCTGCGAACGAAACTAAGAAAGTCAAAAAAGCGGTTTTTTAGAAGTCAGACCATATAGGCCTAACTGTCACTTATTGGGGACAGAATTGACCATTTCGAAAGTAGAAGCTTGAAGCTATCTATCTCCTCGCAAAAAATATCGGTTGAATAGCTCAAATTGTTGGAAGTTGCATGTCAAACCGAACTTATTTATTAGCCAATTTGATAGTAAACTCAAACTTGCCATTGCTTTATTTCAAGCCGCGGAGGGACCGTATAGATTATGCGTTCATTTTTCGATTCGAAAAACGCTCATAATTTGGCGTCTAGAGGGTCGCAGCAGACACCAGATTAGAATCAGCGTGTGATTCTCTACAAAATGATGCCACCATAAAGGCCGTTTTGACCAAAAACACATTTCTTGTTGGAATAGTTTTGATAAATTGGAAGCAGGAAATCAAATTGTCCGTATTAGCCACGTTTAAGTATTGAGACAATCTCAGCGCCTAATCAGTTTGAAGGAGTAACTTATATTTGCATCCAAGTTGACTCAAAAGCCTGACGAGTTGCAATCAAACCACGACATACTACTCTCTTTGACTAGGAGAAGTTTCTGCGATCGATTTTCCTATAAAAAATACCATCTTACGGAGTATGACAAAGAATGAAGCTAACCTTGTAATTCGTAGGTGTGACATCAAAATGACTTCACGTGTAAAGAAGTTTATATAATACCATTGAAAAGACTCTAGTATACATGTAGGATTTTCTCTGGTCACTCTTGAGTCAAACACTGACCATTATTTGAGTTAATTGAAGCTGCGAATAACTGGATATGTAACATTTATGCAAAACTACAGGTCATATCAAAGTAATTTTCGATTATAATGCCGTTCATTCTGGAGCATTCCTTTTAAGGTTGGCGTTTACCGTGTTTTTTGCAAGATTTCTTGATAAAACAAATCTGACAGAATAGCATGATACTGTTTTCTGAAATTCAAAGTGTTCAAGAAAAGTGTTCAAGAACTACATATATATATATATATAATATATATATATATGTATATATATATCAGTGGCGTACCCAGGATTTCGGCTCGGGGGGGGGGCGACAAAAAAATTTCTAATGAAGGTGCGTGGCGTCAGCCACGCACTTTTTTTACAAGGCTAATTTGAATTCTCAAAAATTTTGAAGAATTATTATAATTATTTACAAAAATAAACAAGTCACTTGCACATTTTTATAGCCCATATAAGTAGCTTTCAAAAATTTCGCGACCCATTCTCGGGGGGGGGGGGGGGCGCCCCCCCCCCCCTCCGCCCCCCCCTCGGTACGCCACTGATATATATATATATATATATATATATATAATGTTGAGCAACCTTCGCTATGCTTATGACAATCTTATCTCTCAGATCTTTTGTTAAGGTGCTGTTGGTGCTTACCCTGCTGGGAATGGCATCGTTTGCAGTTTATGCCTTGTTTGTTGGTACCTCTCTACAAGTCAGGATAACAGTGGTTGGTGAGGAAAACGGAGTCGGCGAACCCACTGTAAGTGTTTATTTTTCGTGGGATCACGTCTTATAGCTTGCTGGTTCAAAAAAAAATTATTCGGTACTTCAACGAGATATGTGTATAGGGTTCTAAAAATGTATAAGCACTTTATAAATACCTCTTGCCTTAAGGTCTTTGACGAACTAATGGGTATTATTCTATAAAGCTAGTTTTAATTCAAATTAGTAGAATAATGAGTCATGGTCGTTTTTTGTTAGTGTAGGATTCCGGTAGGAACTTTGGAAGCTTTGAAACCATCAAGAACCAAATTTTGTCCAGATAAGGAATCGAAATTATGAACAATTCATCACTCAGCAGTTTGAAAGAAGAATGTAAACAAAACCTCAATTTTAGTGCCAGTTACTATTGTCTACTCAGCTATGAAGCGTTGAATCTTCGAAGCCTTGTCCAAAGCAAAACAGTCTTAATTTCTGAATTGAGCCAAATTCATGCCGTAATATGGTAACAAAAAGCAAATGACAATACGTTTATCACTATGAGTCTAAATCGAAAAGGTTTACAGAATGATATCAAGAAGTGTGTTTATATTTCTCGCCCGTTATGAAATCGTTATGCTTTTTCAAATATTTATTTGATTATTTTTGCGCAAAAGAGAGAACTTTTTGCCCTGATTTATTTTAGATATATGTGAACGTGTTAGCGCAATGGAGTTATTCTTGAATTATTTGAAGCCACAAGTGAATAGAGTTTAGACGATCTCTTTCATTCACTTATTTGATCTGTGATACACACCAAAATTATTTTCTTGCCATTACATAACTTTTCAGGATTCTCGGGATGCTTCTGCGATGAAAGCATCTTTTGTGTCGGGCTTTCTAACGGGCCTTTTGGGTCTTTTTATTGCTGTGTACTTTCTTGCAGCTCTCGTAAACGTAAGTTTGCCTGTTTTATTTCGCAAGATTCCTGAAAAAAATTTTATTAATCATATGGGTTTATACAAACAATTCGTGATGGAACAAATTCCGATAACAAGAAGCCACTAATGAGATACGGTTATTAGCTATTCTCATCGTCAGTAAAATATGGGATCAGAGCTGTATGTATCTTCTCTTTTGTTGAATATTTATTTCAACAGTTGCTCACCACTACTATAACAAGTATTGTTTCCAGTTTCGAGAAGCCTTAGCGTAGTAATAGATTTCATTAACATTCTATCTCGCCTTTTTGATCTACTCTCATCACTTCTTCCTATTCCTAATTTCTTTTATAAAATAAATTTATTCTAAATATCTAGATATGGTGTTTCAACGTCGTGCTGGACTGTTATCGATGGCTGGGGTTCCAATTGGAAGAAAAGCATCGTGCACTCAGTCGCAAGGATATAATACCGATTACGGGTCTTGATACCAAGCCAGTTACTGTAATTCATTCCACTGATTTTTGAACAATTGTTGCCATAGCATTCATCTCATGTCTTAGGATGTCACAAAACGTTCCGGTATTTTTCAGTGCCTAACATTAATCGCACAAAGCCAGTATTTTTTCGTGATATTCTCATGTTATTTGCGGGTAATTGGAGTGTTTCTGATTTTGTACCCTGGCTGTACTTGTGTAGTCGCTAGATCAATTTGGTTCAATCATCAGGCTGACTGTTATTCGTTTATCATTCAATATCCAGTGTTTCTTCTTCTCAAGATCAAAAGATCCGAAAGAGTCGAGTTTATAGCACATTTGTAAGATAACTGTTCAGTACTTCGTAATATTCTCGTATTCTGTGCAGTGCGCAAATTTGCAGTAAAAATTGCATTCTTTAGCTAGGCATTTACATCTAACTCCAGAACCGTAAGAACAATATAAGTACAAACAAGGTGCTCATCTATAGCAAAAAAGAATGGATTATAAATAGGTTCAAGACTGCTTTTTTTCATTAAAGGCCGCCAGCGACATTGCTCTCAGAGCCCGGCACGAGGGTGGCAAATGAATCTCTGTCCCTTGCCACTTTGATTTTACGATTTTTCCCTTGATCGCAATACCTGTGGTGCCTTTTGATTAGACCGCGTTTACTTTTTCAAACCATAGATGCGATAGGAGAAATTTCACTGGCCCTTTCATTTTAGGGTCGACATCTGGCTGACCCCTTTCACCTGAAGTTGAGACAGAACCAAGGCACTGAACGCTATTACAACGGCACTTTGTTTGAAAGGAAACACCAGCTGCTCTTCTCCTCGAGATGCAAAAGAGCATTAAAGCAACAGCATGTTGTTGAAAAAAACGCATGCTCGGGACCTCCTGCAGCACGCAAATCAAAGTGGCGTTGTTAAGAAAACATGATCAAAAACCAAAAGATGTTTGATTCTTTGCATAATCGATATTGTATCATTGAATACACATTGTCGCAAGAAAGAGTTGAGCAAAGTAGAAAATCTGGCCTGGCTAGTAATGGATGAATGATTACTGACAAGAATAGCGCCATATCTCCTTTCACTAGAAACAATAATCATAACTTATAACTTATAATAACGGGCTAAGGGTTGTTTACGTTTGTCTGTCTGTCTGTCTGTCTGTCTGTGTGAATCTCTGTCTGCCACGAAATTCGTGGAGCGAGTTCCAACGAAGGTTTTGAGCTGATTTTTTGCACAGCGCCTGCTACCAACATGAGAGTCTACTATACAAAAGCATGAGCGGATCCGTTGTGTGGATCCCTCAAAAAATGTGCGTCAACCGGATCCACTTGGCTTTTGGCCAGTAAAATTGAGTCTGTAGCGCATCTTTTTGCAAATTCACGGATATGTTTGACAAGTTAATGTGCAAGCCATGGTCTTTAGCTTAAAAAATTGAACGAAAGTTTATTACTTTGCGAAAACGGCGCCAAAAAGAATTGGTTGCGTAAATGTTCAATTTGCCAAGATTTTACCCGATCGTTTGAGAAGATTTTTGCACAGATATGTAGCCCACGGTGATTGTGGCATCTTATCGCGAATATCAAGCCATGAAAAGTCCAAAAACCGATTCAAATTTGCATTTGTTCTTTCGAGAATAGTTTCGTTCATGCGAAATTACCGATCTCATATGGAAAAGCTTTTGGAATGAATAGTTGTTTACAAATCATTCGTGATGGTCCGCATAGCGCGGTGAGTTCCAATGTCATTATTGTGCGAGAATGAGTTAGGCATACAGATAGTAGGGCCAGTGCGAGCCTCTGCGAAGCAGAGGTGAAGCACTAGTAACAAATAAGAAAGCAGTTAGATTATACGTTCTTCAAGCTTTCGAATCACACAACTTTGAAAAAGACCTCTTCAAAAATGAAGCATGAGATAATTATCGTCGATTCGTTGGCCGTACGGACTGCTCAACCGCTGCGGACCACGCGCGGCGCGGTTAAAAATGTTGCGAGAGCACGATTTTAACAATGGTGACTTTGTATTGGAGCAAGCGTTTCACCTGGCGGCGCGTGCTCCGCGGTTATGTCCAGTCCGTACAGTCAACGAATCGACGATACCTAGAATTGGCTGATATTGTAGCTAGATAAAACTGCTGGTATCTCGCTTCAAAGAAAAGCTAGGAGAAAAAAGACGGTCTATGTGGATTTGTTCTTAGCTATCGAATGGTATACAAAGTGTTGGTGTACAAAGTTTTACAAGTCCAAAAAAGTCTTGCTTCAGCGACCTATACAAGCCAAGAGCGGAGTGGAGCAAGCCAATCGTAAATATCTTCACCTTGTTTTTGAAAAGCTACAAGTCTTTTACTCAACAACCTACAAATCATTAGAAAGCCCACGAAACAGGGATTCAACGCAGACCATCTCTTCTCTAGCTCCCTTCTACTCAGAGATAATGGCAGCTAAAAACTGTGTGTTTTGAGGAGATTTTCATGCAAAGAGTGAATGAAGATGCCCAGTTGTCTAACCCTGTGACAGAGCAAGACTTCGCTAGTAAACGTAGACCTCACTTTGTTTCTAGCTTTCTTCTTCCTTTCAGGAATGGAGCACAAAGTGCTTGCATAAGTTCAGCTGATGCTGAAGCTAAGTATAATTTTTTTAAATATGAACACAGAGCTGAAAAAAGAGATGGTCTACGTCGATTTTGTATGTTCCAGGCTTTCGAATGGTATGCCGATTGATAAAACACAAAGCTTTACCGAGTCAAAAGTCTCTGTTGGATGAACTTCCAAAGCCTAAGCATTGAGAGCAATCTTCATATTGCACCGTACAACTTATTTTCCTTCTTTTCACTCCCTCTCCCGTTAAAAATGTAGGCTTGCGTCAGCATCGTCTTGAAACATAAGTACCACTTCACTTTTCTAGGTTGAATGTAGCCAAAACCCTCTTCTCCTGGAGGGGACCCTGCTCTCCCTATTGCACCTATGCCTCAAACGCCGCGACTCATTTGCAATTCGGATTTTAACGCGTTTCGGACCGGTGCTGCACATGGTGCAGCACGCTGCTTTGGAGGATGGTTTTGACGTTTACAGGAGGTCTTCTTTTAGTCCAATAGTACCGAGTCAAAGGCCTAAGCTCCCACTTTCCAAATGACTCTATGGAACTGTGCCGACATTAGTTATATAGGAGATACGAGGACAAATCGAACAACAGTTGCAACGAAGTGCAGCAACCGAACGACGCGTGCGACGTCGCAACTTTTCTTTGCTTAGATTTCAAAAACAAAACCCCTAGTTTCAATAGTGATGTGTACCGTGTACAACATAAGTACCTCTGAATACTATTAGAAACTGAGTGCTTGTTCCTATCTTTCAAGAAAGCACGGAAGTCAATCTCAAGCAGGGAAATTCAAACAGTTCAATTTCACTCAGAACTTTAGGGGCTTATCTGATATGCTGATTACAGATGTAGCGCACAGCCTACGAAATAAGGTCCCTTTGTCGGCTAACTGCTAAAAGTATACTCTTTTTCGCCGCGCGTGATTTCGCGGTCCGAAACGTGTTAACAAAGAGGAGGGTAAGAGCTTTGAAATAAAATTATGTTAACTGGAAGTTTTGCCCACCTTAGGTGAGCATTAGTTGGGTAATTGACACCTAATTTGAGAAGAAGTTAGGCACGCTTTTTATGACATAAGTTTCATGAGCTTTCAAACTTGTTCCTTAGTCATTTTTGGCAGTGGGATGTTTTCACTATAAAAGCTTATCGCACCTTTCAATCACTTAATTTTCCCACACTTTTCCTCACTATGTTTCTCTTAGCCCTTGTTCGTCCACATAACAAATTTAGCATAATCTTGAGTTGTGCCGTAGTCGAATATGTTCTCATTTTGTGCAAAGGAACTTATCACCGACTTCCAGATTCGTGCTGAGACGGGTGCCAATTTGAGGAGAGGTGGTTTTTGATAGCGATAGAGTATGAAAAGCAAAGCCACAACGTGCAAATGCACTAAGTTTATCCTTATAATAATGGAAAGTCCATAACCCGCTTCCACACCAGTTTGAGAGCCGATCATAGTTTTCAAAATGGCGTCTTCACAAAAATGTTTGAACACGTTAGTCATGTGAAAATCGGTCTTTGCGAGCTGAGCATGTCTGAGGAGTATGTAATCCATACGAACATGTGTAAGAGATAAGCACGGTTTAGCGTGGGGTCAGGAGGCCCGACCTGAAGGATCGTATTAGGGTTAAGTCTGGTGGGGGGGGGGGGGAGGATTGTAATCAAGAACAGAATTTGTTCAAAAAATTGAGGAGATACTACGATCGAGTAAGATAAAGATTAAAAGCGTTAGAACGGTGGATATCACATTGTCGTGAACACCATATTAACTCCGTTAACAAAGTCTCAGCCGAATTTCTGTTTTTCATCTCTTACTTACACATACCGTAAAGTCACCAAAGAAGCTTGCTGTGTAAGGCCACAGACAGAGTTTACGCGATTTGATCGTCGCGATTCAATCGCTACAAGACAACTTTCACGAGTTCAGCCCTGCAAACCATTACTTGTTACATTTCCTAGTGTTTCCTCATGTCTAAACAGCGTGATTTTCGAACATGTTTAGCTTGGTATAGGCGTTTCCCATGCGTATAGCGGGCGTGGCCGTGCAGACATTTGACAGTTGGAAAACTTGATGAACCTCCACCCTAAAGCATTACTTTTTGTACTCTATACCTGCCAAAAACTGCCACGCGCATACGTTGGCAAACGTCGGCAAAGCTCCGCCCGACGATAACAAAAGTGAAAAAAGTTAGCTTTTTTGTACTCATAACGAAATAATGCTCTCTATCAGTCTATGCTAGAAACTGCTAGAAACATCGTTTTCGAAAAGTTGACTAAGGGCCGCATGCACTAACATCGCCGCAGGGAGAGGGTTGCAGCTTGAAAGAAAGCTTCATATTCTGAAGCTCATATCTGGATTTCACGCTGTCTACCTGTCCATAAGTAATTCCTACTATCCTCCACTATGAACATGTTAAACAGGAGCGAGAAGCTTTACGAACCGCATTTTTCAGCTTTTGTATGATCCCTGATGATCCCCGGCTCTTTTCTTTAAATTCATTTTTCTTTTTCCGAAGTTAACGAAAACCCTCCAAAGTTGTACTGAACATCTAAAACAATAGTGCTAAGCAGGTTGCTGATGAGAACAAATGAGTTTTTGAAAAGTCGAATTTTTTGGTAAACCCTAAATTTCAACCTGTGGATCATCAAAAATTTCATAACTTTGAAAAATCGTTTGTTCTTATCAGCAACATACTTAGCACTGTTGGGTTAGATAATCTGCACAACCTTGGAAGTTTTTCGTTAACTTCGGAAAAAGAAAAATGAATTTAAAGAAAAGAGCCGAGGATCA